TGTATAGTATTTTTTAAGTGATAATCGTTAGTTAGTTTCAAAGGACTTTTGGCAGTAATTCAGATAACAGAAATTATGATTATAATGATTTTTATTTCTAACTTAACATCTTCTAATGGCCCAAGATAATAAGCTAGGACTTAAAATGTGTACTTTATTTAAAATTTTAATGATGAATAGCAATATTGGAGAGGAGTAGAACTTAGTGAGGACCATGGCTATTGTGCTTCATAGTAGTGTACAGATAATATAGGTATGAGCAATACTAAATAGATAGATACTAAAATTCAGTAGACTGTATACAAACCAGTTAGGGGTTAGGAAATGTTACATGCTTCTGATCATGCAGGGAATAAAATGAAAAAATGGAGACTCTTGACAGGCATCTTACAGATTGAACAGAAAGAAGCAATAGACTGGGTAAGTCAGGGAAACACAGAAAGGGCACTTTCAAAACTTGGGGCAAATCTGAAATATACCAAGTAGTCTGCATGTAAAATTTCCCTTGTTAATTAAATATTCAAGGTTATCATTTTATATAGCTAATAAAAAGGCTTGAAATTTTGCATTTTCTGTCTATATATAATCAATTTTGCACTTAATATCACTTTACGCTGTATCTATTTCCAAATACTTGAAATTGCATGAAAGTAGAATAAAATCATACAACCACAAAAGACCGTAGGTCTTTTCTAACCCAGTACTTTTTAACAATGAGGAAATTGAGGCTCAAGCAATTCATTTGTAGACCAAAGTACATACACATTCCCACATGCTCACATACCCACCAGGACATGGCTGCTGGCTTCATGTTATAAATCAGCATGACTCTGAGCATTTATATGAAATACAAAAAATAAATTGGTGTTAAATCATTAGAAACATTTTTTTCTCTTAAAAAAAAGAAAAAGAAAAATTTATATAATCTTAAAACTTTAAATAAGGAATTGTAAGAAAGTCAGAAAGAAATATAAAAGATTTTAACTTACTGGGATGAAAACATAAACAGTTAATGATTTCAAAAAAACTCTTTATAAACTAATGAGAATTGTGATTATAGCAAGACAACTAATTTAGCAAAGCCAGAATATCTTACATTATTCTCTTTGGATACTGAGATTGAATCTAAGCCTTGTATTTGTCGGCTTTGCTTTACTTAATATGTTTATATCAAAGAACTAGAGAGATTCTCCCTATTTTAAAGTCTATGAGAACCATCAGTAGCATGCATGCACTGACAGATGTTAAAGAATGTCTCTGGAAAGAATGTCAGAAACCTCTCCAAAGGAAAGTCTTTAAACCATGTCCTTAACACCGAAATGCAAAACCAGATTTAATTGCCCTCTTCCTATACAGCTCAGACATGCAGGCTCGTTTACTGTAGCATATGGTCTGAGAACGTGCGCAGTGGAAGAGAGCAGCCCTGGTGACGGCTGACATTGAATCCATTTAGGCTGGAGTTCACAAAGATCGTCAGAAGCAAGCACTTGAAGTTGAAAGAAACACCAAGTAGTAAAAACACAGGCTATTTTCATTGTGAATGTGTTCATTGGAGACATCCTATTTGCCTTTCAAGACAACAATATTCTGTGGTTTTAATATGAAATAGAAGATTTTTGAAAAACTATCTGGATGTTTTTTCTAATTAAAAATAAAGGTGTAGGGCAGCACCCATAGCTCAATGGGTAGGGCCCCGGCCACATACACCGAGGCTGGCGGGTTTGAACCCAGCCCAGGCTAGCTAAAACAACAATTACAGGCTTGGCGCCTATAGCTAAACTGGCTAAGGCGCCAGCCATGTACACCTAAGGTGGTGGGTTCGAATCCCCAGCCTGGACCGCCAAACAACAATGACGGCTGCAACCAAAAAATAGCTGGGCGTTGTGGCGGTCGCCTGTGGTCCCAGCTACTTGGGAGGCGGAGGCAGGAGACTCACTTGAGCCCAGGAGTTGGAGGTTGCTGTGAGCTGTGAGGCCATGGCACTCTACCCAGGGGGACAGCTTGAGGCTCTGTCTCAAAAAAAAAACAACAACAACAACAACAATTACAACTGCAACAATAGCAACAAAAAAAAATAGTTGGGCCTTGTGGTGGGCACCTGTAGTCCCAGCTACTTGGGAGGCTAAGGCAAAAGAATCGTTTAAACCCAAGAGTTTTGAGGATGCTATGAGCTATGACGTCAAGGCACTCTACCCAGGGCAACAGCTTGAGACTCAAAATAAATAAATTAATTAATTAAAAATAAAGGTGTAAAAAAAAAGACAATGTTGTATGAAGCTGTGGAGATATTTTTTTCTGATAATTTAGTTCATTATTTACCACTGAACTTAACCATTTTTCTAATGGAGACTAATTAAAATCAGTTTGATGGCAGCAACATGGCTTATATTTTATTTCATAGGAAAGACTTAAAAGACTACGTAAATTGATTACTTCTTACCATTCCTAAAGGGATTAAGTTTACTGTTCTTGCAGGAGGTCAAAAACTGCAAACAATGTAATGTAATGGTTTATATCCTCATATTAATCTGAAATTGAAAAAAGAAAAGAAAAGGAAACTTAAGAAAGAGCAAAAGAATCTTTGAATCCTCTTTTGTCACTGTGTGGCATTAGGCCAGTAGCTTTACTTCCATATATAATAATTTTTCTATGTAATTTTTTTAAACAAATATACAGGAAGTATGATCCATACTGTCAAACACACACACATACATATATGTAAATATATGTAGAGAGGACTAAAAAATGTGATTGACTTCATTATGTTCCAAATTTTACAAAAAGACATTTATTTCTGTAATTAAAAAAAATAATAATAACCTTTTTTTAAAAAGCCGAGGCTGGGCGTGGTGGTTCACACCTGTAATCCTAGCACTCTGGAGGCTCAGGCAGTGGATTGCTTATGCTCAGGAGTTCTGGATCAGCCTGAGCAAGAGTGAGACCCTGGGCTCGGCGCCTAT